GTTTATATTATTAAAATATTAAATTTATATTATATTATAATATTAAAATCAATTATTTAACCATGAAAATAAATAACCAACAATTTTAAATTTCAAAGAAAATAATACTCAAATTTGTGTAAGGGGTAGAATAATTTTGACGGGTATTGTACGAAGTGTATATTCGTACACGTGAATCATTTCTAGTCGAAATATAATATATAAGAACGGAAGGAAAGGTATAACGGGGAATTGTAGTAGGTGGTACGTTGATGAGCAAAACTCATTCCTAATTGCGGGAGACGACAAGGTAGGTGTCCCACTAGAGAGGGTTGTTCTAACCACAAAATGAGAACGAATGAGATAGAATGAGTGAAAGACAAAAAAAGATAGAGAAAGAAAGAGTGAGAGAACATTTTCACACCATAGAGAGTTTCTTTTCCTTTGCAACCCTCCTCCATGGACACAAACCGGACCCTTCATACATACAAACGTACATACATACATACATACATACATACATACATACATACATACATACATACATACATATATATATATATATATATATATATGTATAGATGAAAAGAGGGAGAAAAAAAAGGTCTAGTCAGTTGGGACATGTGTCGTGCTCAAGCATCCGGAAAAGCACACTGAGTTATCTAGGATCCGGACCAAAATACACGGAACGCGATGGAAACGCGCGCGCGAATAGAACCACCCTTATCTTTTTCCCTTTTTTCTTTTTCTTCTGCTTCTTTTCCAGTTTGTCCTCTTTTTATCTTTTTCTCGCCTTCGATCTCGTTCGATGTGCACGATCCTCGTCGTCTTCGTCATCGTCTTGGTCGTGGTCGTGGTCGTCGCGTTTACCTGGACGACGGCCAGCTTTATCGAAGAGTAGCCATCCGGCAAATAGTCCCCCTTTCGAAAAGCTCCTTCTAATGTTTGTTTCTCGTTATGACCGTGATCGATAAGTTCCGAATTTATTTTCCTTTTTTTTTAAATATTTTATCACATTACTTTTACCATTTTTAATAAAGGGATGCATGAGAATATGAGAATATGAAAATATGCAAAATCGATTATAATTATCTTTTTATTTTCGTATTATTAATTATTCCTTAGGGGGATGAAATAATTTTTTTAAAGAACGAATGTGTGAAAGAATATAAATCAAAAATAAATGTTTTTATTATTGGATTCTAATATTTTTTAATAATATGTATTTTTTTAAATATATATTATTTTTTAGAAATGTATACTATTTTTTATAATATTTTTTATAATATTTTTTATAATATATATTTATAAATGTTTTTTATATATTTTGATTGCGAATATCTCAAAAAACTAAAAATAATGATGATACAAAACATCATAAAATATCTCAAGCACGTAATTTCGAATAAAATACAAAACACCTTACAAACAAACTTTAACAATAAAAAAACATATTTGATTCGTATAAATAAATTTTTCAATAGAAAATATTTAACTTCTACTCATATTTAATTTATCAGTCGTTAAAAATAATGACGAACAATGAACATGAATATTTGAAAGGAAGAAAAGTTTCACTTTTCTAGGATCACGTTGAGAATCAATAGATAAGAGAAAGAAAGAGAGGAAAAGAGAGAGAGAGAGAGAAAGAGGAGAAAGGTCGAATAAGGAAATCGATAGAGGAAGAGTATAGCAGCGTTGGTTGAGAAAACAGGTATGGTTCGGGCGGCTACGGTTATGAATACATTATATCTCCGGTTCCAAGGGATGCTGGCACATGCGCCGATGGGGTGACTCCACCCTGTCCTCCACCGAGAGTTGTTCAGCCTCCCTCACCTTCTCTTTCTCTCTCTCACTCTTCTTCTACACTTCTATCTCTGTCTTTCTTTATTATTCTTGTCTCACTCAGTGCTAATTATACATGCGCTAACCAATCCTCCCCTTCCAGCAGTACCTTCTCTTTCTCTCTCACCATTGGTTGAAGTTTAAACCCATGGAAAGTTTCCACTGTATCTCACCACTGGGATTCTACTACGCTCCTGTTGCTTAATTACCGCGTAGGCGTTAACTAACTTCACCTCCACCCTCTCTACTCTACTCTTCTCTTCTCTCCTATCGCAGAATCAGCGAATCTGCAACCCTTTTGCCATGCCTTTGGTAGGCGTCGATCTCGTTCATTGGCCCAACACACCCGTCCTACCGTTACGTTATTTGCAACAACTTGTCTTACCAATTTCATTCGTAAATAATTAATTAATAATTTATTTTCTACTCGATTTTACTTATAAATATGTGTTAACTCAACTGACGATTTGTTAATTTAAATTCGTTCATTTTAACATACAATTTTTTTAGGGTGGAACATTTTTGTTTATTTCTCTTCTTTTTTCTTTAATATTATTGTTCTTAACGGTAACTAAACTGATAATTGTTAATTTAAGTTCACTCATATTATCGTCCAATTATTTTGGGGGAAATTTTTGTTTATTTCTATTCTTCTTTTTTCTTTTCCTTTTTTTTTTTTTAATAGTTAAATTCTTCGCGAATCCAAAGAGGATTCATAAGACATCTAGACCAGGGGACTACTGCTAGAGACCATTATTTAAATTCTTCGACGAAAGAACGGTAGTTATTCTTACCAAAGCGCAACCATCGACCCCGATCATAAATCTACTTTCCAAGGATACGAAGTCGGTGGCGTCGCGAATGCAAAATCCTTCGTCGACGAGACTTTCTTACGGAGGAAAGAAAGGAAGAAAGAAAAGGAAAAAAAGGATAACAAGAAAAGATGCGCGGAAGGTGGGGGGACAAAAATAAAGAATAGGAAGGAAAAGTATCGTAAAACTATACAAACGTAACCTTTGTTTGTTCATTCGTTCATTCGTTCACATTTTGCGTGATTCTTCTCACGTTTTTATATCATTTAATCGAGTTATACTAATTCAAATGTAAATGTCAGAAAAATTTACCATTAAATGTATGTACGTATAAATGTATTTACATAAACAACGATAAATCGTTTCATCTCGTAAAGTTAATGAAATTTAATTTATTTTTTAAAATGTTCATGAGATAAAAAATAAAAATAGAAAGATCCTTTGAATTACCTCTTCGTTGTTATTAACACTAGATTTAGGAACTGAACCATTTTCACTTATTACAATTTTGATTACTATATATATAAATTCAAATATAAATATAATATTAATAAAATATTAATTAAAATATAAACATAAATATAAACATAAATATAAATATAAATATTAATATAAATATAAACAAATATAAATATAAATATTAATTCTACCTTCTATTCAACCCTTCATTCAATATTTGTAAATCATTACAAAATAAAAATCAAAACATCTACAAATCTACATTTATTCTAAACAAAACTAATAATTTGTTTAAGATTCAATCATCATAGTATTCTTAATAATAATCCGTACCGTTTAAAAATGAGGAGATAACCGTGTAACGGAAGTTGAGTAGCCGTCGAGGTCAAACGTAGTAGTACTCCGAGATTCAGGCTCTCTTTCTCTCTCTCTTGAGAGAGGGTGGAAATGAGGAAGACGAGTTCTCGTGCTGGGGCAACGAGATAAATAAGAAGTCTCGAGACGAGACCTAAGGTAGGAGGAAAAAGAAAAAAATGAAAGAAAGAAAGAAAGAAAGAAAGATATATAGATAGAAAAAAGAAAGAGGGATGAAAGAGGTTGATAGAAGGGGGAAGGAGGGAGCGAACTAAAAAGGGGTGATGGTGATGGTGAGGGTGAAGGTGAGGGTGGGGGTTTGGTAGAAATCGAAGCTCTTTTCCCTTCGCGGGAGGCCAAGAGTGCCGCGAAACGCGGATTCGACAAATCGAAGTGTACCCTTCCCTCTTTCCTCCCTCACTTCGTTTATATCTAAGTAGAAGGGGCTAAGAAGAAGAAGAAGAAGAAGAGGAAGAAGAAGAGAGAGAGAGAGAGAAAGAGAAAGGGCGGGTGGGAAGAAGGGTTGGGGGTGGGGGGTGTACGACTTCGACGCGCAGGCCCTATGCAAAATAGCTCGGGTGGTGGGGTGGCAAAAGCTAGTGAGACCCCCCGGAGCCGTGCGACGGGGCAAACAACCCCTTAGTTCTGCCGTAGCGCCCGCAGACGCCCCCACCACGTGTGTGTCGCGCGCGACGACACCGTCCTCGTCGACGTCGACGTCGTCGTCGTCGTCGTCACCGTCGTCGTCGTCGTCGTCGTCGTCGTCGTCGACGGCAGCGCCACCGGATATAATAATATCGTGCTAACCGCTTCTTTTTTTTTTATCTCTCCCCACCAAAAAACACGTTTTTAATATAATTACATAGTTTCTTTTTGTTTATTTTTTATTTTTGTATTTTTTTTTTATTTTTATATATTTATCTTAATTATTTAATTAACTATCTATTCAGATAAATAGTTAGTAATCTATGTACCCTTTTTATTTATTTTTTTTTCATATATATGTATATGTATATGTTTGTATGTATGTATATATGTATGTATGTATGTATATATATAGATCTATTTAGATCATAGTGTATTTAAATTCATTATATTTTAATGAATCTTTTGTATATGTATATACATATATACATACATATACATATATGTCTATTAGTATTATTTACTTGTTGTTTTCCCCCCACCCCAATCAGTTCGTGTGAGCGAATATTTTGTGAAAGAAGAGTACGTTGGTTTTTCAAGATAGAAAGAAGGGATTCTGTGTGAGAGAAGTATCATGAAAATGGATCTTGTCGTCTACTCATCTTAACAGAAGATTATTCGGTACACCGTAGGTAGGGATTATCATAGTTTTTCTGATCATCATCATCACCATCGTTGTCATCATTGTCGTCATCGTATTTTAATTTTTTTTTTTTATGAAAATATATGAATAGAAAATTGGTCAACCCCCTCCCCCTTGTCTTCCCATCCATTCAAATGTCCAGTCAGTCAATCGTAGGTGTCCGTTTCTTTTTTTATCAAAAGTCTTGCGCCAACTATAGACGAGTAATGTTGTTTCGTTTAAATATAAACGTTGTGGAACACGGATTTAACTTTTCATTTTTATCATATACATTTTTTTTTCTTCCAACTTTCTTACTTTCAGTTTCTTTTTTTCTTTTTTTACTATATTTGTCGTACATGAGTTTTATATCCACTAAGCGCGAACGATTTGAATGTTTCTTCTTATCCTTCCTAGTTGCAAACGTTCGATATGATATTTCAAATGTGTATATGGACTTAAGCTTTACCGACGGTTATTATAGTCCAATGCTACGGATTAAAACTTATTGTTAGTTTAGTTTGTACTAGTTTTTGGATCTTAAATGTATACACATACATCTACCACCTACGTAAGCGTACTATTTGTTTCTTTATTTATCATCTTTTTTTTTCCCTTGCTTTTATATTATCGTTGCTTTCTTTTATTTTGCCGCGTAAAATTATTCCATTCGATGCGAGTAATTTACAGTTTAGAAGGAGAGGGTGAGAAATAAGTATTGCGTAGTTTTAGATCGATATGATAGATCGGATCGATGAGGAAGAAAAAAAATACAAAGAAAGAAAGAGTGAACAATCTTTTCTAGTAGCTAACGTTGTGTGAGTCTTTGTTTTATTTAATATCTTACTTACCTTCTCCCTCCCTCAGCCCCCCCTTTACTCTCACTCTTTATTACATTATTTAGTTCTCTTTCTCTATATGTTTGCGAATAGTTATGATAGTGTTGGTGGTACATATGAACTCGTAATGTAACATAGTATTTCTCGATTATCGTGTAAGAATCATAGTAACGAAACTATAAAGTTTTACTAGAACGCAGTAAGTGTGTATATTTCTTAACGAGATTTACGAGTATATAAAATTATTATAAATTATTCAAACACTCCAATTTTTTCATATATACATATATATGATATGAAATTATTCATAGTTAAAAAATACAAAAGTTGTACTCGTACGATTATAAAATTATTCTTACGAAATAAAGTAATAAAATATAAAAATTTATTATACATAAATTAATATATAATTATATTATACATAAATATTATATAATTATACATAAATTGTTTATTCGTATAAATTCATTTTGATTGCAAACAAAAAATAATTATTTTTCTTTATATAAATAAAAAATAATTAATTTGTTAACGATTAAAATAAATAATTCGAATGTAACGAAAGTATATACGAGGGTTGATTGAAATTTAAACATTATTTTAAACAAAAATATTCGGATAACGCATATTAAAGTGAAAAACAAATTTTAATAATGTTTTTTTCACATAAGAGTCGTCATTTTGTTTATGACAATTCTTCATTATCGTATAAAAGAGTTTTCTCGCATGTATGGGCGCAGGTGCGCATGAAACGGAATAAAAGAAAAAAAAGGAAAAGAACAGAAAAGGGAAAGAAAAAAGATAGGACAGAAAGAGAGATAGAGAGGAAGTGTGGGAGGGAAAGGGGGTGGGAAGGGAAGGAGATAGGAATGAAGAAGTTGATTAATCGGCGATCGATGAACGCTCGTTGTTACGAACGAACGTTCGCGATTACGTCACCTTGATCGTGCTCGACCTCTCTCATTAATTACTTATTAACAGCCGTGCCACATGAGTAGTTAATTACAAATGCAAATCGCAATTCTCTAACACTCGTCATTATTATTTTCCATAAACAGACACACACACACACACACACACGCACACACGCACACACGATTTTGCAATAATAATTGTTATGCATCCCATCTTTTTATTTGTTTCAAATTTTGTTTCTTCCTCGTTCATCTTACATTATGAGCTTCTTCTTCTTCTTCCTCTTACTTTTTGTAACAACAAAACACACATTATTATTATTTTTCATAGACAGACACACACACATACACGATTTTGCAATAATAATTGTAATACATCCCATCGTTTATTTATTCAAATTTTCTTTTCTTTATCTTAACCCTTTTGCACTCAAAGTTATATTTTTCATTTCACATATTACAAACAATTTACAAAGCAATTTCAATAGAAAAAGAATGCATATTCACGTATTATAAATAAATGAAATATGTGTAGTTAAAAGAAAAATCATAGTTATTATGTTGTAGAATTTCTAAATTCTACAAATTATAAATTTTTAAAATTCTAAATTGAATTTGTTTCAGTTTTTATTTTATTTTTTTTGTCTCCGTAATGGAGCCCTCGAGTGCAAAGGGTTAAATTATGAACTCCTTCTTTCTCTTCCTATTCTTACTTTTGCAATAACAACAACAACACCTTCTTCTTCCTTCCTTCTTTTTTTCTTTCTTTCCATTTTTTTCTTCTCACGATTTTTTTCTTTATCGTTTATTTCACAACCATCGTGAAAGAGTGGACGAAGGTTAAAGTTCGTAATGGAAAGACGAATCGTCTTTCGATGGATCGAACGTTCACAACCCGTGCGATTTAATATCCAACCTAAACGAAATTTTTCTTCCTCTTCTTCTTCTTTGCATAGTGATATTTTTTTTATGAATGACATTCTCACTTACCCCTTCCTCTCCTTCTCTTATTTATGTTTTCATATCGCTTCATTCTCATCTTGAAAGGAATGAGAGGAAGATATTTTTTTTTTCAATTGCGTTCCCATGTCTGTTTTTAATTTTCTTTTATTATTATTATTTATATTCAATCTTTTAACATGCACGAAAAAAGAAAGAGAGAGAAGATTCGTGTAAATTATTTGTCATTGTAATCAAACATTCGACGGGAAATGATTTGCGATGACGACGTTTGCTTATTGATTATTATTATCATCATATAACCACAAGAGACATTTAATAATCGTTTATTTACGAATGCAGTGAGATAAAAAAAAAATAAAAAAAAGTTGTATAAAAATGATTGAAATTTTTCTGCTCGTATGTTAACCAAAACTTTTTGCACGAGATGGCACGAGGTTTTGATTTATATTTAAGTAAGATCAATGTTGAAAGGTAAAAGTCAACGACAGAAGAAAGAGAGAGATGGAGGGAGGCAGGGTAAAAACTTCCGTTTACACTTTGTACACACTTAGTTGCAAGAGTGAAAGAGAGAGAGAAAGAATGTGTGTGTCGTAAAGCACGTGGAGAGTAGCACGAGCCATAAAGCACCGTTTACTTACATACATTTCTTTCTTGTCTCGCGATCGCATGACAGAACTCAGGTATGCCATAAGATAGATAGAGAAAGAGAAAGAGAGAGTGAGAGTGAGAAAAGAGAGAGAAACGTGCGCCCACTTTGATCATTTTCAAGATCTACGGTTGATCTTACGTTAGTCCGGTTAACTCGCATAGCACAATAATTATGATCAAACTGGCGCCGATCATGTATATATATATATAGACTTTAATTATTCATTTCTACGCGTACACTATGAGAAAAGAGAAAGAGGGAAAGAGATAGAGAAAGACAGAGAGATAGAGAGAGAGAGAGAGAGAGAGAGAAAGAGAGAGAGAGAGAGAGATAGAAAAGAATAAAAAATAAAAAAATTAAATAAAAACAATATCGATCATTATAATCTGAGATTGTTGAGAAATATTTAGCGATTAGTTATTTGTAATTATTCAGTTGAACGCGTATACTACCAGAATAATATGAAAAAGGAGAGAGAAAGAGAGAGAGAGATAAAGGAATAAAAAAAAATAATATAAAAACAATATCGAACGTTATATCTAAGATAGTTGGGTAAGATTAGGCGATTAATTATTTGTAATTATTCATTCTGTTCTACGCGTATATTTTTAGAAGAATAAAAAACAAAATGAGAGGGGTAGGGGGCAAATAACTGGATGGATTGCTGGAAGTAGAGAAATAGAGATCAATAAACAGGCAAAGTTAGATAAAAATAAATAAAAAACAGAATTAGAAGGGAAGGGGGTCGGATAGGTGCATGAATTGCTGGAAATAGAAAGATTGAGATAGATAAATAGACAAAGTAAGATAAAAATAAAATCAATGATTATGTCAATGATAATTGTGAAATATTTGTATGAAGATAATTGTGCAATAGTTGTTAGATTAAAATTGTTTTTCAATAAGCTCGTAATGAGACTTTGAATTTTGGAATGTTTCTTTTTTTTTTTTATTGTCCATGTAATTTTAATAAATTCCGCTTAAAATATTCGGTGTGATTGATCGTTTGATTGATTGATAAAAATGAATCAACATTGTTAACAATTAGTTAGAAAATCAAAAGATAGGTTTGTTCACATTGATTTTAAAAATAGTATGAACTTTACTGAATCCTTACGAGTTGAGGTTAATATCGTGGGTATAAAGTTGCTATAGTAAAAGGAATAATCGTGTAAAGGTAGAATAATTACATAACAATGTTGCACGGCCTAGCTTCAGGGTGGCGTATTGTAACTGACGTTTTAAGGCTTGCTATTTTCGTTACTTATTTTACTTAATTCTTTTTCATTTTATCCTTTCTTGTTACGTGGGAATCGATAATTCACAACAATGTTAAATTCTAACTACGAACAAACTATGATGATAATAAAATATTAGAAATTAACTAAAATGTTAGAGAAATAATTTAAATAAATTGGTAAATCATTTGTGCATTTAAAGGTTTTGATTTTTTAATAGAATAAGGAATAATAGATTTAATTAGAATTGTGTAGTTATAGTATTTTTTTTTTATAGATTACGCGTGAGATTGAATGTTTGCTATAAAGTTAAAATGTTGTCAAATAATTAATAAATTATACACACAAATTTTTGAAAGTTGCAAAGATCGAATTAGTTGAGAAAATAACGTACAACGTTAATTAAC